AATTAGAATGAAAGAGAAAAGAACTAATTGTATAAGGATAATATTATATTTTATCGGTACAATGTTTATTTAACAATTTCAAAATTATTATGATCATGATAATAAAAAAATTGTATAGAAGAATTTCTTATAAAGCTACTTCTATAAATAGACGCATAAAATTATTAATAACAGTAAACAATTTTCTTTAAATCTTCTTTTATTATAATACGAGTATTGATGTTTTAGTTTTAACATAATTATATATTTGTCAATTTTCAAAAATTATTATTTGTTCACTGTCATTCTTTTTTATACATATAAATAATCGTCTTATTTAATAGTTATTACCATATATTTTGTATAAAGTGAAGTAAACATTTTTTCTATTCCTTTTATGAAAATAATTGCTAATATTTACATACATTTTTATATTTACTTTATTATTATATAAAATTGAAGTTCCTATAATGTCATATAATTTTATTTTACTCATTTTACATAAAATATAAATCAAATTATTTAAAAATTCTGAAATTTGTAACGCTGATTTTAGATTTGAAATCCCCGTTTTATGTAATGTTCATTACTGAAACAATGTTCATCACTGTGATAACTTAGTTTGTGAAAAAATATAAAATTAAAATAATTTTTTGTACATTTAATTTAATATAAGTTGTTCTAGGTAAATTTTTGAAAAATAATATTTATACAATATAAATAAAAATGATTTTAAATTGTAAAATATGAAATAAATAGTAACAATTGATTTTATTGGAGAAATCGGTTAAAATGTTAGTATTTAAATTGTGCAAAATGATATAAATACAACCATCTATTACTGACTTTCGCATTTATTTTAATATAATATATGTCGTATTATTATTTTAATAATCCTTTTAAACTTAATCAAACTTTGCTCCTGTTAGTATTACACTATTTCTAATCTATTATTATAAATATGTTTACATATTTTGTTATATTGTAAACATAATTTGACTACTACATTACATAATGTAAGAATATAATTTTAATTTATGCTTTATGTATGATTTTATGTAAGTTTATTGGTATATGTAAACTATAACTTAAAGTGGAGAATGAGTGTCATTACAAACATGTTACATTTTTTTTTATTGCATAAATAAATGAAGCAAACCAGTATATTTTTTTACCATATTTCCATAATCTCAGTTTTCAATTATGGAGATATCTATACAACATAATATAATATCGTAAAAAAGTATCAATATTTCATTAATAATTATTAAATCAAATTACCATATAATGTCAATTTATGGAAATATGGTTAAATTAATATCATTACCATAATTGATAATACACAGAAAAGCCATCTGAAAATGTTTTATTAGGATTACACATGTGGCAAGCGAGGCTTTTGTTTCCAATTCCTCAAATTTAAAATTCATTTTCGTAACATTTTACGTACATACATACATACTGTCAGTACAATAAAAAGTGCTTTGTTTAATATTTTGCACTTCATTTACTACTAGAAATTATTGTTACAAGAAATATCACTTTGACCTCTTTAAGACAATCGATCAGCATCCTTGGGCAAATTTTGTTTCCTAATGAATCTATGCTATTCAAATATAACATATTGAAGAATATCTGGCTTGATTGCTATAGACTCTTTGTAAAATTTAAATAATAATTTATTATCATTTATATTACAAAAATTGAATTTATTTTTTTAAACAATAAATTAATGGTTTTTATAAGAAAATTAACAAAATATTTCAAAAACATCATTTTCTCATCGTTGATGTATTAGATCATGTTCAAACCACTAAGTTACCCATTGTAAATGAGTTCTATATTTTTTCATGTTATATATTATATTAGATATCAATGATTCTGTACAGCTCATGCCAGACTCTTCAATTTTACATATTTTTATACTATTGATAAAGGCAAATAATATGTGCTAGAACAATATGGATACAATGTACAGCTGAATTAAATAGTTATACTACATAATTGAGTATTGCTAAACGTTACTAACGTTAATTGTGCAGCTTTTTTATTTGTGTTCATGGGTAACTGAATTTTATTATTATCTCCAAGGGGCTAAGTTCCAAAAAACATAGACAAACATGTATTACACCAAATCTTGTGACATTTTTGATATGTTTTATGTTTTTAAATATCATAAAAGTCCTTTGTAGGCATATAATGACAAGTTGATTGACAATAACGGTAATAACATTAGAAATAGCACTAATGACGATACTATAAGTAATAATAACAGCAATTAGTAGTGCAGCAATAGTAGTGGAGGTAGTTATAATAGCATTAATAATCATAAATAGTTATAATAGTATAGTAAGAGTTGTAGAGATTAGCAATGAGTCAAAAATCGACAGTAATCAGTGGAATAGCATTAATAATGATGATTGCAGCATAATTGCAACTATAATTTATTTCTTGAACATTTGTAAACACAACTGTCAGAAAGAACAAGTTTTGCATGATTAATCAAATTTGATTGTGAATTTGTATGAAAAACATAATAAATAAATTTTTATTAAATAATCTGTAAAAATAATTATGAAATTATGTATATATGATTTGATAGATTCGTAATATACGTATATACGTATATAATAAAATTATAAAATTATATACTGATAGATAATAAAATTATATACTGGTAGATTCATAATATGTAAATTCATAATATGTTTTTTCTGTGCAGAAATAGAAGTATTTTCTATATTTATAGAACATACAAAATTCTTTTTTACGTGCACAAGTATACAAATTATGAAAACACAAAAACGATATTAGAAAAGAACACATTTTTATATACAATAAGAATATGAATATGGCACGAAAAAAAAAACATACAATGATATATGAAGAAAAACATCAAATGTTATCATTAACATAAAATAGACGTTAAGGAGATGCAATCTATCTTTATCATTTAAAGATAGTATTCTTAGTTTATTTTTTAAGATTTTTTTTTACTGCATGTTTTTTTTGGAACCTTTCCCATTGTATTAATCTACACCGTCCATTTGTTTACTTCGCTTATATCATAAATACAAAACTCCCATGACAAATATTCTTAGACATCACTACATGTGAACTTAAGATTGCAATGTGTTTGTAATTTCTCGATGTACAGTTACCAAATCTTGTATATATCCAGCTAATCTGGCATTCAGTGTATCCAAATTTTGTTTTTGGACTTTATTTGCGCTTAACGCAAGTTCTAATTGTTCATGAACAACCCTTAACATTTCACGAAGTTCTACGTTTTCTTTCTGTAAGGCCTAAAAAAGATAAAATTATTAGTTTACCTATTACATGTTCATTTGAAATATTTTACTTTTTAAGTAATTTTGTTATTTAAAAAATTATTATCATTTATTAATATCTAATACGATTATTTTACAATATATACGTACTATAAAATCTTTATTTTTTGTAGCTATAGTAAGAGCTTTGATTTCTTCATTTTTTGTTCTAAGCTCACTTTCTAATGCTTCAACTCTCAACCTTAATGCTTCACTATTGCCTTCTGCTATTTTTCCAGCTTCTAGATCTGCATACTTGGCTTTGATCCTTGCGTTGTCTTCTTTATATAATTGTAACTGTCTTTTCCACTCATCAACATTAGCTGTAGACTCTTGTAGTGCACTTGTTAATCTGGCATTATTTGTTTTCAAAGTAGTTAATTCCACCTGCAGGCAAATGTTTTTTAACAAACTGTATCATATGTTATGTAATTTTATATATAATGATAAAAACCATACCTCCCATTTTTTAGCATTTGCCGAACTTTGTGCTAATGCAAGTTTCAGCCTATCGTTCTCATATTTAAGCTGCATTTCAGCCGATTGTCCACCTTGCGTCGAACAAAGTTGCGATGATTTCCCTTGATGTTGTGGACTTTCTGTACTCTGCTGAGAAACACTCTGTGATCTTGAATGGACTGCATTTTTCAATTCATCATCCACTTTATTCTGACAACTACCAGGTAAGGGACTGCTGCTTACCAAAGACACACTGTTTTGAGTAGAGATCATGTTGGCATTTGGATTGGGATTATTCGATGCTGATACATTGGAATTAATCATCGACGAATTTGGCGGATCTATAAGATCTTGTTCCGATGATGGCATACCAGATCTTGACGTAATTGGGCTAACATTTGCACTAGTAGCAGGAGTAACGGATGAACTGTTTGATTGTAACTTAGCACTAGCTAATTTAGTGGCTTCCTTCACTTCCTGAAACTTCTCTATGAACTGCCAAATGAATAGTATTGTCTTTGAGATTACAGTGTACAAATGACTGTACATTAACTTACGACATATTTCACAAACCTTTCCTAATTCTACTTCAGATGAAAAGCCAAGACCATATATAGTATTAGCTCTAACATCTGACCATTGTCCAAACTTCTGTGATGTTTTTGTGAAGGTCATGTTTGGAGTAATAGTACTATTTATTACTGCCTAAAAGAAAAATAAAATACAATGTTTAAGTTTATTTCTTAAATACAAAGAACATTTTATAACAGTTTATTTTTCAATTACCTTTGATCCTTCAACAGAAATTATTCTATATAGATTCCTTGTTGAATCATAAAAAAATGAAATAGATACTGCTGCTGTAGATGCTGATACCCAAGATCTTTTTGTCTTAGGATCAATATGAAACACATGTGCTTTACATGTGAAAATTGGTTGTTCGCTGTAATTTATTAAAACCAAGAGACTTAGGTATTTAAATATATTGATTTAATTAATACATGCAGCATCTATTTATAGGCAGAATATAAATTATAGGTATTTTAATAATAACGAATATCTTAAAGTTTACTTTTTTTTCGTAGAACTTTATTACACGTATATTCCATAGAAACATAAAATCAAGTACATCAAAAAATTTACATTTTTTTTTACATACCTTAAAATTAATGCAATGAAAATTTAATAATGTTACAATTTGGGATTACAATAATGTAGGCTGTATCATATAAATCTGAAGGAAATCAAAAGAAATAAATATAAACAAACAATTGTTGGCTGTATTTTTTATTAAAAAAACAATTCCATTTCTGTTTCAATTTTTTTAAATTTTTCACACGTGCAATATATGTACAATCCACGTATATATATTTATTATTTTTTAAAATATGTAATTTTGACAAATAAAGTGAAAAATAATTACGATGAAAGTAAGAAATATTTAACGAAGTACGCATCACTTTAGTGAAATATGAAATTATTTATAAAACCGAAATTAAAAAGAAAGTGATATAATTGTACAAAAATCTTGGTATGTTGCACAAAAAGCAAAAAAAGACATCTTTTTAAAATGTTTTGATCGAATGTATCATCGCATTAGAAGACCGACTAGACGATAACGTGACAAATATTTGCATGAATTGTGGGAATGAATTTTCACAATTGGAATCCAAAGATATATGAAACGATGCCCGAGAAAGTAAACAACTAGAATAAACACATTTCACGCAATGCCGACTTATCCCACTTTCACTATTTTATTTCATAGTTATATATATATGTATAGAAAAAAGAGAAAGAGAGAGAAAAAGAGAGAGAGAGAGAGAGAGAAGAAAAACATTCTGGTCCAGTCTCCCTATGCACCCACCTAATGCATATCAACGACGATGTCGGAAATACGATAGTAAATAGACGGGAAAGATAGTTAACGTATCATTAGTTAACGTAATGAAATCGACACGACCTATTTCATACCAATTGATGGTATTTAGTAATAGAGGAATTAAGGATCGTTTATCATACTTGTCGTGATGTGGGAATCATACTTGGCGTGTATGTACATTACACACCCTTAAAAGACGGTGCAGAATACCACCACGTTCACTTACCCCATTGTTTCTTTGCCCGATGTCATACAAATGTTGTAAATGATAATCTCACAGACTCATAGGAAAATCAATTTAACGCAGATGCGTGGTAACTACTTGTAAGCGGAAATTTTCGAGATGATTGGGAAACTGATGAGAACGAATTCCACGAAAGACGGAGATACACCAGTTGACAGCCGCCATCGGCCAAAACTATATAGCAAACGGCAACGATCACGCAACAACATGAAACTAGTCGAGTTAGTCAAGTTTCTACCATATACCCGGATTTAATCGATTTTCCAAAGGTTTGCTATTGCTAACCTCGTAGCTTTCTTTCGAGAAAGTCACTAGAACCGTAAGGTGCGTTTTCATGTCCCGGAGACGCGGGCCGCATCGTCACTTGAAACGTTGGCAGTGCAGGACTGGCGACGAAACGCCAGCGTTTGAATACGCGATCATTCTTCTCTGCATATCGAATTATCTCGTTGGTTTTAAATGTTTCACCAATAGCGAGGCAATGGATAGAGAAGAGCGATGTAGCAAAGCAGCGGCATGACTTCTGTCCTTGTCTCACGTCTCATTTCACCTGAACACAATGAAAGTGCGCAACACGCAGTAGGTGGGGGTATTATGCGAGAAAGAGAGGAAACAGGAGGGAGAGAAATCATCCGCCTTGCGAGCCCGTCATGGCTGATTCATCGTGAGGGGCTCTTATAGGAGTACGATAACAAATGACATTGTGATTAAATCACTGAGCGCACACGGCGAGTACAGTGCATGGAGTTGCCTCTAAATCGAACCGATAATTTCGATGCGGAGATTCTACGAGGGAACTTGATAAACAGCGTTTTCGCGTGCGCGTAACACCCCCGTGGAACGATGAACGGGTTAAGTTTTAGTGAACTGTGTTGCTTGTTTTGCTGTCCACCTTGCCCGTCCAGAATCGCTGCGAAGCTAGCATTCCTACCACCTGAGCCTACCTACGCGTTCATCGAGGACGAAGGATCCAAGGTTACAATTTCCTTGTCCGAAAGAGCGGAATGGCAATACACAGAAAGGGAGAAAGAGTCGGTGGAAGGTTTCTATGCAAGAACGTCACGAGGGAATCGAATAGCTTGTCTGTTCGTACGGTGTTCGGCCACCGCACGTTTTACCATTTTATACTCCCATGGGAACGCAGTCGATCTCGGGCAGATGTCTAGCTTCTATCTAGGACTCGGGTCCAGAATAAATTGCAACATATTCAGTTACGATTACTCTGGCTACGGAGTCTCCGGTGGTAAACCGTCGGAAAAGAACCTTTATGCGGACATAGACGCTGCGTGGCATGCCCTCAGAACACGTTACGGCATCAGCCCGGAAAACATCATTCTATATGGCCAGAGCATCGGAACTGTACCCACGGTCGATCTGGCCGCGCGATACGAGGTTGGCGCAGTTGTTCTGCATTCACCTCTAATGTCGGGAATGCGAGTCGCTTTTCCCAATACTAAGAGAACCTGGTTCTTCGACGCCTTCCCCAGGTACGTTCAATTCTTCTTAATGTATACGTATCCCCTTTTTTTTACCGTGTTAAATGAAACGCGATCTATAATCCACTTACCGCATGCTGTGATTCGCACAGCTAAGTTTACGCGCATGACACTATCATCCAGCTCAGGTGTACATCCATCCATACACGTGGTGTAGATATATATGTATACGTACATATACACAAACATTTCAGTCTATATTTACTGTTTAAACCAAGTTTAAAATAAATTGAACGCTTTGACCGGCGTAACAAGTTCGCACGGAAGCTTGCGACAACCGCATTTTTCTTGCGTTCGAGTGACAGTTTTTCGGAGTTAAAGCGTGGGAAGCAATAAAAGTTTATCTATATACCTGCGTCATGAAAACCTATAAATTACATGATCCGTTGACACATACTTTGCTAATAGGTTTTGCACCACTGAGCTGTCGCTCATCTGTTGTCCATGTATCGTTCTTTTCTTCCTCATGCTATTAAATTAAGTTAAATGACAATAATTACATATTTGTTTTTCCCGTTAATCGCTTTAAATAAATAAAAATTAAGCTTATTATATCATTAATTTATAAATAAATTTATAAAATGTTTATGGTACCATACATATAAAATAAAGTTTCTTTTTTCTTTATAGCATAGACAAAGTACCCAAAGTGACATCTCCGGTTTTGGTGATTCATGGGACTGAGGATGATGTAATAAATTTCAGTCATGGCTTGGCGATCTACGAGAGATGTCCAAGAGCAGTGGAACCATTATGGGTTGAGGTATACAAAATTATTTATTCTCTTATTCTTTCTCGAATAAAGAAGACAAGAAATTGTGCAAATATCATTATATGCTTGTACTTTTAGGGTGCTGGTCATAATGACGTAGAACTGTACGACCAATATTTGGAACGACTGAAGCAATTTGTAAGTGTAGAATTGATAAACTGACGCCGACTGAGCCTCTCCCAGAATCAGGGGGGGCAGGGAGGAGGACATACACATGTGAGCAGTCAAGCACACACCACTTCTAATAATTCAAATACTACCAGCTCCATTTCGACAAGCTCGCAGACTGAAAAGCTTGTCTAGCAATCGCCTCTCACAGGGGTGAAGGCACTTGTCCGCCCCTGTGACGAAGAATCATCTTCCGTTTCTACGGACGATGGTTTCTTTTTTCGTGATCAGCAGATAGATGTTAATCAGAAGATTCACTGTAAAGATTCTTTAAAGGAAACATGTTCCAAAGATGATAACTCAAGTTTAGATAGTAATTCGAAAAGAACTATTCAACAAGACGAGAAGAGTATGAAAGAAGAGGAAGTAGCAACAAACGTTCAAGAGAATAAACACAATAAAACGATATTAGAAGGTACTTCTATTCGCCATAACTTCCGATTGAATCATATTAGTCAAGTTGCAAAAAAGCACATTTCTTTGCCGAAAAATTTAAAAAATCCATTTGGTAAAAGTCAAAAGAATATTGTTCACAGGACACTGAAGAATTCATTTGGTCAAGGCCATAAAAAAGCTGACACACAAATATCTCATACAACTTTGGTTGACATACAGGTCGAAGACTGCCGACAATTTGCGATCGGAGAAAAGTCATTTCCCAATATTCCTAATGATAACAATAAAAGCATTTCAGACTGTAAAAATATTCAAAGTCAGTTCAAAGTAGAGAAGAAATCTCCTATAAATCAATTTAAATATAGTAGTATAGAATCTGTTTTGGATTCAGAGTGTACGAAGAATAATAAGAAACATTGTTGTAATAAAATCTTAAGTAAAGATGTAATTATAAAAGGTAAGAAGCTTGAAGAGCATGAAGCACAAGCTCATAATGAAAAATCAGTAGAATCTGTGAAAAAGTTTTCATGGGGAACTAAAAGTGCAAGTAAGAGTTTCGAAAAGACATGTAAAGATAAAGGAAAAACTCAGGATCCCATGGAAAAGAAATTGAAAGCTAAAAGAATCCTTTCCAGTCCCTTAAGAAAATTTGGTCGATCATCATTGACAATCGAGCCGGATAAAATTATGATAAACTTACCAAAGTGTTCTCCTTGTGCTTGTAGGTTGGCTGCAAGCTCAAAAATTTTATCCAATGATTCCAGTTTACTTTCCCGATTCACTACGAATCGCGAGAGTCCTCATCATGCTGTACGTTTGAAGAGTCCATCGCATGTAGATGTACAAACAGATATCACTTTGAAAACTTCAGAAAGGACCTCGATGCAGGCTAATTTGTTACCAAACGTACAACAAAAATCACGGTATACACCTCGAAGCAGAAGCGTTGGTGAGCTGTGCAATATTGTAAACAAGTGAATCAACCACGAGTTATTCGTCTGTGGAGCGAAACCATTGTATCTGAACAAAGCTGGACTTCCGACATCATCAGTTGAATGCTCAGGAAATGTTATTCAGAAGTTAAGGAGAAAATTATATAAGTCGAATACTCTGATAAAATTTAATACGCAACTTTAGAGACAAAGTGTCAAGTAAATAGCATGAATTCCACGTGTCTCGCCAAGTTGCCGTTTCATTATTCTTCCACATAACTGTCTTTAAAGAAATCATAGATTTATACGCACGACACTTATTCGGGCTGTAACAGTGCTAGTGAGACTGTGCACATAAATACACGTACGATATATACATAAAATTTATTATATTTCTAGAGATATGAGATAATATATCTGTGCATACTAAATATTCTTACTATACACATGCGTACACATATCAGTGGATGCATGTGTATGGTGTAAGTCGTTTTCGCAATGTAAAACGTTGTGAAACGTTGTTACGACAAATATGTCGAGTATTATTATTATTATTATTA